AGCAGACACTACACAACTAACTACTTCCACAACAAGAAACGACTACAAAAATAATCCACAATGGCGGTAATCAATCACAACAATGCCGCACCGGGTGGTCGACTTCGATGCGACCACCGTGACAACGCGGCAACGGAAGGAGACGGCAATATCCATATTTGTTGTGGGTATTTTTGATGACTGGACCGACTGCTGACTGCTGAGCCACTTTTAAGTAGAGTACGCTCAGTTTTGAGTATAGTATCCCGTCGTGACAAGAACACATACTCACTAGTGTACGAATGATACACTGTCATAACTGCGTCAGAGTTACTTGGTCCACACGGTATCGACAACGACGACGATGATGAGGAGGAGGAGGAGGGTCATCACCATCACGTTCTCAGGAGGGTCAAGGCATAGACAGGGGAGGTAGTGAGGGACTGAGTGAGTGTCCAGCGAGGGAGTGTCCAGTGAGAAAACGAGTTCGTCGAGGTCGAGGGAGTACCCGGAGGCAATGAGTGAGTGAGGGCGTGAGAGTGTCCACTGTCCACTGTCCACTACTGCAACCACTGAGGCAAACCACCAACTGCTGCTATGCTACATTCGACACAACTGCAACTCCAACTGGAACTGCGACTGCAACTGCATGAAGGAAATCACATCACTTCTTCAGTTCTTCCCCTCTCCCTCTCCCTCTCCCTCCTCTCCCTCCTCTGCTCTGATCCATCACTACAATGTACCTCACTATGTACCTCACTTCGATCACCCTTTCCGTCCGTCAACTAACTTCGTTACTCCTGTATTCCAGACAGTGCGTGACAGGGTCCATTGCCCATTGCCCATCATCACCAGTGCAGGGGGCATGTACCAGCTAAATGGAACTTGGAACTACACTACTATGTAGTGTACCATGTCATCGTCGAAGAGAGACGAGACGAGGGACGAGGGAGAGGGGAGGGACGAGGAGGGGGAGGGGACCCATCATCACGTACAGTCAGTTAGGTTCCGTTTACCCCTTTCTTACATGGATTCAACCTTCTTCCCTCTCCTGCCAACGACATTCCCCTGTCCCTTGCGTGAAGGCCGGACTGGACTCATTCAGGTACATGTATTGAGATTGGTCAGTCACTTACCGAAGTGGGTTTGAGTAGTGATTGGTGACATACGTACCTACCCAGGTACCGTATGCAAGAGAAACATGAGGGAAGACACCGTCAGTGAGGTGACGGAAGAATGGTGAGACTTTCATCACGCATCGTCGCGTTTCATAATCTTCTCACTCTCCAGTCGTTTAGCCCTTCGGTACCTTACTGTCAGTGTCGGTGTCGGTGTCGGTGTCGGTGTCGGTGTCGGTGTCGGTGTCGGTGTCGGTGTCGGTGTCGGGTGTCGGTCCCAACGAGAGACACAACGAGAGACATACGCATGGAGACACTACTACTGACTAGACTGGATTGTGAATCCTTAACTTGTACTGATTTGATTAGGAACAAACAGAGAGTTGCAAACAGGGGCTGGGCTACCTCTCTTCCCCCCTTCTTCATTCTATGTTTTCGACTGGTCGGTTTGTACCTGCATCTAGGTATGTACGTTTGGTAACGAAACGGGTCTCCTCCGTGAAGTAATTTGTTGCATGACAGGGAGTGACTACATGATGAGTTACATAACGTACTTACCTCCAACTAGGTACAAACACAGTCTTTCCTTTCATTTCCCCTTGATCAGGATCAAAAAGAGACACTCCTCGCTCATTGAAAATGGGAAGAGGGTGAGGCTAGGACAGATACAGATACGAATGCGAGAATTTGACTCCCTTACATTGGTGATGCTGGAAGTTTTAACCGGTCTGTCTACTGCCTACTGGCACCATGTTGTCCAGCAATGTCCTTAACCATCACTTTACAGCAGCAGCAGGGGCAGCAGCAGCACAACTTTGGAAACCTCACTGCAGTTTCAAATATATTCGAAGACAGTGAGCCACTGGGCCACTGAATCTACACCTCTTACTACGCTGTAAAACCAAATCACTCATGACTATCTTACAGCCCCATCAATCCGCTATGGTACACTACCACCCCTTACCTTAATACCTACCCAACGAGCACTTTCGGGACTTCCCCCGGGACGGTCAGCTCCAACCATACATACACCGGTCGGGAGGGCTACGAATGGGTTGAAACGTCGTTTCTGCATGTGTTGCTCCATGAGTAGGTAATATCGCCTCATCGTCGCAAGGGATCAGAAGCGTATAATGGTGAAGAAGTTGGGGAAGTTGGGAAGATTCCAAGACTGAATTCTCTCCTTTTCCCATTGTGTAGGCCGCGATTGGCAGTTTTTGCATTACTGCGACCAATCAACACCCCTGGACCCTTCAAGCTTCAAGGCCGCCGACGACTTAACGCACCATCGCAAAGGTCACTGTTCATTCAGTCACTCACAGTTTCTAGGCCCTACTAGCCTGCAACAAAACCTCCCGGACGGGTGGCTTGACTCAATATCACGTAGTGATGAACGGCTGACACTGGAAATAAATAAATGGGGAATCATCTCACCGACGGCGGCTGGGCCGCGAGCGACATTCAATTGCTCCCCTCCCCCTGATCCTCTTCGATTCTCATCCCGCTACAAGCCAATCCATCACACCCAGGAGAGGACCCCAGGCTAACTTCTACGGAGCCGAAGTGTCTGCACCAATTTTTATTCGGGCGGCAAGCTTCTGTCACCAGCACACCAGGTCAGGTGGAAAGATGGCAGATGTCACACCGTGTGATACACTTGAGGAAGTACACTTGAGGAGCTGTCACACTTGGATGAGGAAGGTCCACTGAACTCCGAAGACAGAAGGTCATGTTCGATCAGGCGGGTTAGCTTGGAAGGTACGTCTTTGGCAGATACCGTCTCGATGTGGAAAGTACCACTGCCTATGTAGGTTCCAGGTTGTTCGTGTGGTGGGCGTGAAAGATGGTCACCTCTACTGGACGGGCAGGAAAGAGCGAAGTGACTGACTGCCTGACTGATGGGCAGGGCGTGCTTGCGGGCGTGCGGATCATGCCTTCCCATCGTAGAGCTTGTGTGTTGGTTTGATGTACGGGTTGAAGGTAAGCGCGACCTACTAACCGTACTCTTTCCATTTGAAATATGACGAGGAAGGTACTCATTCAGGTACTTCACTGTGGGAGTCGGGTCGGCGTCAGCTTTGGTACGCAGCGAGCGGATCACAGAGATGATGTGCAGGTTGGAAGACGGCCATGGTGGATAGGAAATAAAAAAAGATTGATTGGCATGTGGCAACAAAACTTGTGTTTAACTTCATGCCACAAGTATTTTACACCAAAGTGTAGCGGATGCTCTTCGAACATGAACAAACTGAAGTGGAATTACAGAGTTCGGAAGATCTACAGTCAAATCCACTACCTTCTGTCACCGACTCCCAACCGACCCTTTTCTCTTGTTCTTTCTTTCTCGTTTTCTCGTTATTTGACGAAACCTTTTCAACAATGCCATGCGGCCCATAAACGCCGACAGCCCAGGTAGCTAACAATGATGTTGGCGTGGACACTCAGCCAATAACTCTGGTTGCGTTTCTGATGCATGCTATGTAAAAGTATGTCCAAGTAGATCTCGGGGATTATTCAAATGGTTAGATGTCGGATGGTAATGGTCTCTGAATTAATTTACACTGGATCACCTACCTTGCAATGCAGGTTCGTCTGTTTGTTGATTTCTTTTCTTGGCTTTTTAGTTGAAGTGTCTAACAGCACATATCTGCACCATCCGCTATTTGCTCCGTTTAATGTCCAATATACTACTAATAGATAACGTAAAGACCGAATTGGCGTTTGGCACATTTTTGTAATTTATCTCTCGACTCCGTTCTGAGGATCTCACAGGCTATGTTCGTGTAAAACCGCAAGGAGGTTGAGTGAATATGGTAGCAATATATTGTTCTATGGGAGATAAAGTAGAGATTGTTTAATAGCCTCTGTTGTCAGTTCAACTATATACTTTATGTAGTATCAATGTGAACTCAAACCCATGAATACCATTCACAGGGTGTTTACAACGGGATCCATCACGATTATCATATGGTAAGCTGAGTGCCGTAGATTTTGCGATACTGCTCAACAGTAGTGATTAACGGCATGGCAAGGATAAAAGACGGAATATGGCAACGAAGGTGTCATTGTGTTGCAATTTGAACCAGGCACTGGAAAGGTGTCTTTAAGAGGCGATTGAGAACTTCCTTGGGTTGACTGACAAAGGCTGATTCCAAGCAGCTTGCTTGCCTTAGTAACGATCAAGTAGGAAGCCAGATACACACACATGAAGAGATAATAAAGACGGAAGGTGGCTTTGACTGGCAAACCATTTTCATTGATTCGCTATATCCGTTAGCCCCTCCACGAGCCCGACGGCCTGGCTCGGAGATATTAGGCCAAGCCTTCCCCTTACATAATCGCTCGTCCCTCCAAGGTTTTGTTCCAGATGCCAACTGCTTTGCCAGGGATTTGGCTGAAGTCGCGATGCCAGTATGTTTGACTGGTGACTGACCTGATGACCGGCCGGATGTTTCATGAACGATTATGCAGGTCTAACGAGCCCACTTCTAATCCCACTTTTTAACATGAGAGGACTCGGAGTCGGAAGACTAATTTTCTTCTTGCAGTGAACCTCCGGGTTATGGTATATGCCTCTCTGTCGGGTCGATCCATCCGTTATGCAGTCGATCGTGGTCGCCATCCAACCGCTCACGTCAGGGTAATGGGGTTCTTGGCCTCTAGACATCAGAGCCGTTTGGGTGGTGGCCATGAGCGCGTTGGTCGGGGCAAATATTCGAGCCAGAAGGTTTCCTCCGAGTATTATCCTAGTATCGATCGTGATCGCTGTCGGCACATGTCGCCCATAAAAAGAAAGTTCGCTATGCAGTCGTGAGTATCATGGTAATGCAAGGTATGGTACAATTCCAAATGCGTGTGTTGTGTGTGTGTTCCCCGTCTAGTCCTTCTCTAGTCAAGTTGTCTTCAGCACTGAGGGGGCTGGTAGTTTAGGGGACGCCTGTGGTTGCCATCTAGTTAGCAATTGTTAATCGTGCTTGTGTGGCATGAGATGCGCTTACTTGAACAACAAAATATGAGGCTCTGGCTCATGGACCTCGTAGTGTTCCCAACCGAGACTCTGTTGTCGCAATCTTTGTGTTAGTCTTCCCGTTCCCTTTGCAGTGGCCGCCTCTAATGGTCTTCTTCCGCGCGCACCTGTGTAATGCCCATGGCTCTCCATTCCTCCTCCCACAAGAGCTTCAAAGTGCCTTTAGACTTATCGTGGTAGTCGGAGGGAATGGCCTTGAGCATAGCCTTGGGCAGCTGGACGTGGCGGTACTCGTATTCACTATCGGAATAGCTATTGGAACAAGTGGTAGGGTCAGCAGCCATACAGTTGAATCCTCCCTAAAAGTGCGCAAGGGCGTACCGAGTAGAATAGTGAATAGAGTCGATGAACTCCTCGAGGCGCGCACGCTCGTTATCAGACAGCGGCCGCGGGCTGGGGTTGCGGCGACTGGTGTCGATGCCCATCTCCTCTGGTGACATAATGGCTGCTTGTGTGGTGGGTGTTTCGAGGGGTGCGATTGTTGTTGTTTGGGTGTCAGTTGCTAAGGCGATAGTTGCTGGCGGTGCTGTGCGATTCAACAACCGCGTCTCTCGGGGTGGTTTGGGTCTCGCTGTGGTGGCCGCGCGCGTGGGGCGGATAGAGTGCTATTTAAGAGCCCGGAGGCAGAGGGTCGCTGTCAGGGCAGTGGAGTCGACGTTTATGGCGGCAGTGTATTGTGACTTGTATTGTCTTCAGTTCGAGGTCAGGCTGAGTTGGGATGATCGGCCGAGAGTCAATTGTAGACGGGAGGGCGGATTTGTTGTGATTCGGACAAGGGTATCGTGAATAGGTCGGACAATAAGTTGCTGTTGTCAAGAGACTTTGGCGTTATTGTAGAGTGTCGGTATTGCGAAGAGATGGTGATGTGGTTGACAACGGCCAGTGACAAGGGGAATCACGAAGTCCACTCAGTTGACAGGGGTTTGGTGCGGCAGACGTGAGTGTCCGGCCGGCAATCCATTCGATTCCAAAGGGTGCCGGCCAGAACAAACGGTTGGTCTTGGCATTGTCAGAATGCCAGAGCTGCAATGATCGACAAGTGTGCATGAACTGTGACAGACGGCCGCCAGCCGCCAAGTCGCCAAGGGATGTGGTCAGGGTGCCGACGCTTTCGCTTTGTCGATTTCTCAAAGTCGTCCCGAGCACAGGCACCAGACACACCACCACCACCAGGCCCGGCGCAGGGAAGCAAACAACCACCTGCACTAACAAGCCCAGGACAATCTGCTCACAAAGCACGAACAGCCAACCGTCTTTTTCAATCTGTTGGAGCACCCAACTCGCCATCCGCCCTTCCAGGTTGTCACCTATATCCCACGCGTTAACCTGAGGTTATTCCCACTACCCGTCAACACTGTCCACATTGCCGGCATCCAGATCTTCTGCTCGAAACGCCCGTGCAGCGGCATCCACCCAAACCTGAAGTGTCTCTTGTTCCTGCTCAAAGAGTCGATACACCATCACAAGCCACCACTGTTATTGGCTCACGGATGGTTGCCCACCTCACTTACAAGTGATTCCAAGTCTAACCTAGCCCGCCCCCTGCTCTATCTCCATCACGTTCTCAAGCGGCGGCCTTCTTCCCGTCCACTTGGTCCGTCGTCCACACTTGTTCGACGCCCGCCCGCCCGCTGCAGCTCCCGCTCAGGCCAGGCCCATCGCTGCTGGAGCACTGGAGCGCGGTTCCCACTAATCCACCACTACCCATCAACCCAAGTGGCATTTTTTGTGCCCGCAGAACGACATCGCCAAACCGCAACGCGTCTCCCGAACGAGTCCCGTCCTGCTCTGCGCCAGCGACTCCCATCCGGTCCCTGACCCCCCAGACGAGACCCCTTCTCCCCCAACTGCCATTGCCCCGCCGGCACCGCCCTACCGGTAGCTCTGACGACATCCTCGGATAGCCCGCCGTATCTACTACCAAACCCACGACCGGCTTTGCACTCTTCCCTTCGCCGACATGGACAATAAGCGGAAAGCCAGCATCTCCAACGGAGCCAACATTCAGGATGGCGACGACCGCGCTGCGAAGCGCACCAAGAAGGAGCCAGGTGTAAGTCCTATACCTTACCCCCAACCATTTCCTCCCGTTATTCCTCCCTATACATACATGCACCTCCGTTCCCCATTGTGCCGGTCCCTTTCCACGACGAGGTGCGGCCATGCAGTGACCACAACCTTTACCTTCCTTTCCCCGTCTGGGAAGAGAGAGAGAGTTGAGGAAGTGCACATGCATCTATTGACAGCACCCAGCACCATTAATTTCCAATCCGAGCACCTGTCAATGAAGCTTACCTAGCATCTGCCTTTCCACGATGCTCAACCCGCGTCTTATCCCTTGACTTCGACATTATATACACCAGCCAACAAACAATACTCGCAATGTACGACTACGTACAGCCAGCTAACCATATGATTGCAGCCCTACACGGATTACGATCTCAACATCGAAGAGACCAACGAGTCCACTACCGCATATGGCCTGCACTTCCTGGACATGATTCGTAAGACCAAGGACAAGAGGTATGGCATTGCGATCTTGCACCAAAACCCAGTGCAAGCTCTCTTCCTCCAACTGCACCGCTCCTGATCAATGAACCCGACAGACCTGTCGCATCACCAATATGAAGCTTGACGCTGACACTCTGATCACAGTGGACGGACTGTCGCCGACTGCTTCGAAGACCTCATTCCACGCGAAGGGAACGAAGACTACTACAGGCGCATCAAGCTACCCATATCTCTCAAAACAATCGAGCGCAAACTGTACAACCAGGACTTTGCGAACATGTCGGAGCTAGAGGGTTACTTCAAACGTATGGTTATGAACGCGAAAGAATACTACAACAAAGGCTCCGACGTCTTCGAGGACGCTGAACGCGTCAGAAAAGCCCTTAGCAACTACATGACCAAGACGAATCCCGCCTACAAGAGGGAAACCGGCTACAGCTGCACCGCAGCGCCGATTCCTGGGGAGGAAGACGAGGACAAGACCAAGAACGCCAGTCAGAACAGCACCAAGAGGAACTCCTCGAACGGCTCGACGAACGGCTCTGTCAAATCTGTGCGGAAACGCGAATCTCTCTCGGCACAGGATACCCAGGGCGAGGATGATGGTGAAGGCGAAGATGACGACCAGGATGACGACCACGACGAGAGCGGTGACGAGGACAACGAGAACCCAAGAAGGATTGTTATCAAGAGGCGCGAGAGTGGCAGACCAACGGCTAGAAGTACAGCCTCGCCAGCACCCACGTTCAAGCCTGGTAGAGGGGGCAGAAGGAAGGCAGACCACGAGTACGAGAATGTGCCTTACAAAGGTCTCAGCTTCCAGCAAGCACAGGAGAAGATTGTGGAGGAACTGATTCGCAAGCCGGATGGATCGTACGTTGCACCCCCTATCATCTCTTCGCTCGTCTCACATGTTCCCCTACTAATCAACATAACAAAACAGTGACCCTTATTTCCTCGACTTTATCAACCTTCCTCCAAGGAGCTTCAAGGACTACTTCGCTGTCATTACTGAGCCGCTTTCCCTCAAGGGCCTGCAGAAGCTCGTTAAGGGTATCTACGGTCGTGCCAGTCCGACAGGTGTGAGCGAGTTTAAGAGCTGGGCTGCATTTGAGGAAAAGGCCAGCCTTCTCTGGAACAATGCCCACTATTACAACGAAGAGGGGAGCGTCATTTACGACCTCGCGACAGAGCTGAAGAACTGCTTCGAGAAAGAGTTGGATCAAGCCAAGGCATTCGTTCAAGAACCGCCACAGCCCCCTAAGATCAAGCTAAAGGTTGCTCCCGGATCAGAGACCCCAAGTGTGAGCGGCCCAAAGAAGATCACCATTCATGTGGGCGGGTCTCGTGGTAGCGCTGCCGCCTCGCCAGCGCCTCAAACTGGCCAATCCATCGATTCCATCCATAGCTATGGTGCTATTAATGGCAATAGAGTTGTCCCGTCTGCAGTCCCCGCTATATCTCAAGATAAAGCCAGGAGTCTGTCTGCCTCTGCGGCACCCAGCCCTGCCTTCACCCAGGCTAAGCTCGAAGGGGTTGTTCAACAATCACCTGTACCTCTACCACCTCGGGCGGGTATGAATGGGACCGCTATGGCACCTGGAACCACGACGCCGGGACTGAACTCGCAACAACCTGGTTCCGCAGCGCTTCACAACGGCCATGCTCCTGTTGTAGCGCCACCTCCGCCTCCGCCTATATGGGATAAGACATTCCGTGCTCCTGGTCGAGGTAAGTTTATGTTAGGTTCGTTTATGATGACCTCGTAGCTAACTGCGTGTGCCAAAGGTCTTGCCGATGCCCTTATCCACAGCATTCTCATTCGTACCCATCCAAGCATTCCCCTCGAGAGGCGGTTTAGGCTTGAAGTTCCGGGCCCATCCCAAATTGGCACAGAAAACCTGACAGTGCACCTGCCGACCAACCACAGCAGACTGCAACTTATTCCACGACTGTCTCCAATTATGGAGCAGCAACAACGACAATATCGCCTCTTCATCACCATCAATGGTGCGATGGTGGGAAGGGCGACTCCATTACCGATTCCTGACGACCCGCTGCCCGTGAATGCGATAGTGTTTGACCTTCCGTTGCAGCCGGGTACGACAGTAATCGGTGTCACGATGATCGCTGCCCTTCCAAAGGGTCAGAAGCTCCCCAGTGGCGCCGAGTGCGAGCTGGAGAGGATTTCTATCAATGCCTTTTTACCTAGGGTGTAACCGCTTTGAACGAACTTCCGTTTCAGATGTTATTTTCGGGTATTTTCTGATACCTTTCTAATTCGTTTCAAGATCTTGTCGGTTTTCGCAATGTTGGGGAGGTTCTGGTTCAACGATGAGGCTTGGTCTTGGCCGGCGCAAGGCAGTCGAGTCATTTCAAGAGTGTTTGGGTTGGCGAGCGTCAAGTTACTTACATCATGGAGTTTAGGGACGGTGGTATGTGGAATACAATACGTTCGGCTCGGTCTTTTGGTACTGGCCCTCCACTATGGGAGTTGTTGGTCTGCTTGATTAAATAAAGAGGTGGTGTTATGACTGAAGAGAGTATACGTATGGTAATGGACGGATGAAGTGGACATTGCCAGAGTATCATGTTGTTATGTATGATATCTGTGACAAAAAGGAAGTATTCGAACAGCGAATTTTTGCAAGCCAGTCGACGACGACATTTTGCAGCAAGTTGGGAATCAAGACGAGCGCTCCGACCTATTGACTAGGAAAACCATTATTGACAACCTTCTTTGTCTGCCTACACTTGCAAACAAGACAATGCAATGCTTGGGTTGTCAGCCTTGAAATGTTTCCAATTCCGAGAACGGCAGCTAACAACAGAAAGCTTCAATGCGACGCGAACGGCTGGAATGTTGTTCCTCAAAGATATCTCTAGGCCGGTGCTTCTCGGGTGAGCCATTGTTGGACTTTCCATGTCCGGTCCGTTCTCCTTTGTTCTGCCAGCTTCATGTCCATTTCCGTCAGCTAAGCTCTAGCACTGCACAGCCCTTTGTCCATGGCCATTGTCGACAAGGTCGATAATGTTGACTGCTTCATTGATCCCACGCAGTTATTCCCCCCTTTGTGTTCTGTTCTCATATGTTGTCAGCATGTTGCCAACTATCTTTTCACGAACACTTCCTACACTCTTTGGCAACATCTCCATGATTTTACATCGCTTTCAATAGCGACCACTTTCGATTTCCCGGGTAGAACTACGCCAGGAAAGCTGACGCAAACCACTATCGCAAAGACGAATATCTATCAGCATAGGAAGCAAAAAAGAACAAACAAGCAGCAATGGCATTCCAAGGCCCCGCGCCCCCCGGCGGCTTCCGCCCTCCAACCTTCGGCGTCGTCCCCAAGTCCCGCTCCGACGTCCGCCAACCGACGCGCGTCTCCTCCACCCACGTCGTCGTCGAGCCCATCCCCACCAAAGACCGGCCCTGGGTTCCTCCCGACGGTCTCTACACGGAACTGCACAAGTCTGCCATGCATGAGCGCAAGCTCGCCATCATCGGCGTCGACGACCGGCTTCTCAAGCCGCTGCCCATGGCCCAACACCCCTTTCACGCCCTCGATTACCTGCCCTTTGCACGATCAAGTCTCGAAGCCGTCGAGGCTGTCGAGGTCGGAGTCAAAGCCGTGGCTAAAAAGGTGTTGGGCGTGGAAATGAGTCCTGTTGTGCCGCAGTATGTGAATGTTGTTAGGGAATCAGGGTGGAGGCCTACGCAACTTGGTGTGGGGGAAGGGCCTTTTCGGTGGCCGCATTTTTCTGAAGATATCTATATGGAAAAGAACGGAAAGAAGGATAAGTACGAGATCAGCAGGGAGTTTCAGAGTGATTGGTATGAGATTCTGTGGAGCGATTTGATGAGGAGGGTGTACCGCTGGGCGGAGAAGTATTTTGATTTTTTGGAGAGTGGGGGAAAAGGAGGAGCGGACGTTGGCGTCAGTGCGAGGAACGTGAAAGACTGGACACCGAATTTGTGGAAGCAGGCGGGGGTGAGTGATCAGTTTGTGCATTATGCGAGTCTGGTGGCGAGACAGGATAATAATCACCCAGCTGGGTGGGATGTGTTGCTGGCGAAGGGAAGGTATAGGAAGTTTCTTGTGGTGGGCGTGCTGGTGAGATTGCTCCAGGAGCAGGTCTTTGATGAGCTGCTTTTTGGGGCGGATAGAGAGACGAAGAGGATGTTGGAGGTGCAGGATGAGTGTTATATTGAGATGGATGGTATGTTTTTCTTCTCTTCTCCGTCTCTCGCTCTCTCTCTTTGCTGGCGCTGGGTCCTGACTGCGTGAAATAGGCTACCTCCGCACCGAGATGCGTTCCCAAGCCGTCCGCGCCGCTCTGGGCGAGTACATCCTGACGCCCAACTTCTGGTCCGAGGTGGACAAACTGGCTGTCCAAACCACCGCCTTGTTCTCCCCCTTGATCCGGTTCATGGACGTCGAGCTCGAGAAGCGCATCGATCCGCTGGAATTCCACCAGGAAGCCCACGACATCATTGCCGAAGCGGGCTACTTCAACATCGCCATGCGACTCTCTCGCGACGTCTTCCGCTTCAACTGGCCTCTGCCCGGAGACGCGTGGAGCACCGAGGTCGAGAACGTCGACGACGTCCCCTTCGACATCTCCCGGGCATGGGCCGACAAGCACGAGCAAGACGCACAGAAGCGGTATCGCGCGGGCCTGAAAGCTGATCGACGACGAGACAAAAGTAGAAGCGGAAAGGAGATTACTCCCAAGACGACCACTGCCGGCGGCATGGCGCGCGGTGCCCTCCGCCTTGCTCTCTCCGGCGCCAGCACCAAGATAAAGTTCGGTCTGTCCGCCACAGCTTCGGGGCTAGCACGACTGCGTCCGGGCTTTGTGGCGCCCACCATCGACGATCCTCCCCCCTTTGACGTAAACTTCCGCCGAAACGTCACCGGTGAACCACAACCAGAACCAGAGCTCTACCTCCCCTCGCGCCTAGCCAAGACGCAAATCGCCATCTTCCCCGCCGTCCAGCGATACATCAACCTCGAAAGCACGCGGCGCGACCCCGTCAAGCAAAAAAGCTCGCTTTTTTCGACTGGGTTGTCGTTTCACAAAAACGACATCCTGGCTTCCATCGAGACGCACCCGACCTACGCGTATTACGTCGATAAAGTGCTCCCGCGCAAGCTTCCTCACGAGCTTTTTGGGCAAGACGATGATGATGACGAAGGTTACGTGCACCCCATCGTCGCTAGCCACCGAGAAAGGGTAAAGAGGCGGTTGATGAACAAGGCCTTTGACCGAGGGTATCGCCAGGAAGACGCCGTGGGAGTACATCTTATCGCCAAGGGGAACGCGATCTATTACTCCGGTGTGGCGGATGAGTCGAGTCTTTCTGCTCTTCGCAGTCGCAATGCTGATGGTGGCCCGGAGAAGTATTATGTTGGGTACCCAGGCTACCTCCCCGAACACTTACCGACCCTGCGCGAGTGGTCAAATCTTCCTCTTACTAAACGCCACTCTGCCTCCTCCTCTCGGTCTCCCTTCCACTCCTCTCGCACGAGTTCATCCCTCCTCACCAAACTCACCCCCTCCACCAAAACCCTCATCTTCACCCGCCGCCTCCTCTACACCGCTCTCATCTACTCTTTGTTCCGCTTCTTCATCTTCCCCCTCTTCTTCCCCTCTCTCGTTCCTTTCTTTCTAGCCCTAGAGTCCACCATCCGCCACGTCTTCACCCAAATCAAAGACGCGCTCGCCACCATTCTCGTCCCCATCTTCGAAGGCCTCCGTCCTCTTTTCCACTTGTTGCTCCGCGGATTATCTTTCGTCGGAAACTTGGCGTGGTGTATACTCCGCTTTGTGCTTGCGCCGCTAGGGGACTTGGCCAAGAAGGTGCTACTACCGCCGTTGGCGATGGCGTTGAGGGCAATTGGGTATCTTTACTCGAGGCTGGTTAAGGACGGACCGGTGGGCTGGGTTTGGGAGAAGTTGAGGGGGCTGGCTAGATGGTGGGGGCGTTGGACGAAGGTTATTATTGGTGACCGGGTGCTAGAGCGGTTGGAAGCTGTTGATGGGTGGCTTTTTAGTAAGCTTGGTGCTGGTGCTGGTGGAACGTTTTCCCCTGAGGCTTGGAGGAGGAGTGGTGCAGGAATTGGAGAAGGAGGAGCTGGAGCCGGAGTCGAATCGAGTTTGACGACAACGGCGGCGGCGGCGGTGCCAGTGGATGATGGTGGTGGTGGTGGTAACTGGAATATCTTTGCTTGGGGTGCTGAGTCTGAGTTGAAGACGGAGAAGATGACTTCCACTTTTACTACTAACTGGGATGACGAGGTGTTCACTATTGTTGAGAAACGCACTGTTAAAGGGGGTGGACAAACTGTTAAAAGTGCTGGTCTGACGTCTGGAAGGAGGGCTTCCACTCCCACTGCCTCCACTGTTATTACTGGTGACGGAACCTTCACCATTGCCGACGTGGCGCCACCTCCTCCTCTTACGCAATGAAGCAGTTCTGACCGCCAATAACATGTTTTCGGAAAGTTGGATAGCAGGACGGAAATTGAGCCTGTGAAAGAAATTTGATTTTGGGGGCGTTAGGTTGACTGGCGGTTTGGATGAAGTTGTATAGTAGTTAGCTTATCATTGAGAATTCTTCTTATATCTGCTCTTTTCGGGTCAGTCGTCTTCATTCGTGACCATGTACCGGCTTGAGGTCAGGTTATGGGACGTCAAATACCTGTAGTGATGAGCTAGTCGACTCATGGCGAGCCCCGTAGTGCCCGAACAACCGTCTCCACGATCAGGGGTAACATGCTCGACTTTCCTGTTCCGACCGTAACGTTAATTGCCCAACAAAGATGTATGTCCATTTCCGGCGGAATATAGAGGATCAATGCTTTTATTCCTCACTAAGCTCCTATCAATGTCCCAAAATCCCGTGACGATTGTGCCCGCCGCAAAAGCGCAACACACTATACACATGCTCTCTCATGAACCCGTTGGGAAAAGTGCGGCAACCCCGTCTCTTCCTGAGCATAAACCACCGTCTAATTCCATGACTGCCCCACGCTCAGATCCATGCACAAATCTGCGAGTAGGAGGCCACTTAATATGAAACCGATTTAAAGGCTGCCTTAACTTCCAAAGTCAAATAAACGCCATGATAAGGACCTCAATAGAGCTGCTGAATGAAATGTAAAACGGATTTTTGGAAACCGACGCCACGGCTAGATTCCCCCTTCCAGACTCCCGGATTCCTCCACCAAGTAAATGAAGCGGGTAACTTTTTCGTCAACGAGATATCTCATATTTCTATGCGTTGCCGTTTGCGTGTATGCCGCCGCCGAGACCGCATGGCGTCCTTTCTCGAACATCGTAGATATTATAAGCGGCTCGCTGTATGCATGAAAACAAAGCCGCCTGCTAAAGCCGGGCTGGACTTTAGCTCGTCAATGACATGACCAGAACCGAAGGGCTGTATTTAGACGGTCATCTTGGCACGAGCGCGAGAGCTGCCGCTGTGAGCGGATTCCGTGTGGCCGGAGAACTCGAGAGCCTCGTTGGCAGGGAGCTGGAGGACCTCCTTGAAGCGACGGCCAATGGCCATCAGGATCTCCTTGCCCTTCTCAGGGGACCTACCCTTGCCGCCAGAAACGTCGCCGTCGCCGCGGCCGGGAATGTGCTTGCCGATGGTGCGAGTCCAGACACCAACACGGAAGAAGGCCTTGCGGACGTTGACGACAACACCCATGACCTCGCCGTCCTCCTCGTCCTCGAGAGTCTCGCCGATCGCAGCAAGCATAGTATGCAGCCAGATCTCGTCAATGTTGACACTGCGCTTCTCCTTGAACTGGTAAGACCACTTGCCACCGTGCTTGTTCTGGGGATCCTCCCACTCGGGGCGGACGCCCTCCTTGAAGAGATGGTAATCGGACTTGAGAGCGAGCTCTGATACGGGAGCGATATTGTTCTGCGCGCATTTTGGTCAGCATGCATGTTGGGTAAAGCGCGGGGTGGGAAGGGCACTCGTGGACATACATATACACCCCAGAACTCCTCGACCGTCTCAAAGGTGATAACCTCCTTCAAGAGATCATTCCAGTTGTCGCCCTGGTCGCGGTGATGTTAGCTGACTGCGTGGTACGGTATGGTGGGGCATAGTGACTCTAACCTTTCCGCTTGAGGGCTTGGTGAACCAAAGGGTCCAGCGGTTGGAGAGAGGGTGCTTGACATTGAAGTTCTCCTTGTCGTGGAAGACGGTGACGGTCTTGTCGTCCTTGGCCTTCTTAGCGGCGGCGTCGCCGTTGGTGTTGCCGCCCTCGGGGCTGATAGGGATGGTGGTGAGATCGACTTGCTCGGACATGGTGGCGGTTGTGATGTTGCGATGGGGGTTTGGAAAGTGGATGTTGATCAAAGTGTGTCGTTCCGACAAAGGGCGTCGAGACGGAGTCGAGCTAACAAGGACTGAGCTTGGACAGGCGGGCCCACAAAAAAAGCAGTTTATGCCCAAGGAAGTGATTTAAGCGTGCGAGGCCTGGCGAGGCGTGGGTGGAAGCGCGAATCGATTGCGGACTTGCGGGCGACGGAGTGCTCCAACTTGGGGGATCCACGATACGATTCGGTCGGATGTTTTAGATTGTGTATTTGTTGCGGGATGCTGCTCTTCCGATAAAAAGTGGAAGTTCAGAATGCTTGGTTGTTGGGAAAACTCGAAGTTGAGGCGTTGAGAGGAAGAAGAAAGACAGTGAAACAAGTTGAGGTTTGTCACGGCAGAAAAAAGAAATCAGTTTCTAGACGCGTGGTCCAAGCACTCAGGGTCTAGACGGCAGGTACGATCGTGTTGCGACTTGGGAACTTGGAAGTGGAAGGTTTGACTTGCTGCTCCAGGCAAACAGGTCGTGATTGCTCTTTCAAACAGTGAAGGCAGTATAGTGCAGATAGAGAGCGATAGTCTCTAGAGAGATCTGATAGTCCTAGAAAGTATGGATGACAGACTTGATGGAGTGGATTTTGTGTCGGAGGCGGTCGAGGTTCGAACAAATGGAAGAAACTTTGGTATTGGCAAATACGTATCAAGGCGATATAACAAAATTCAATGCCGCGCAATCACAAGCAGAAAAATGCAGACAACGCCAGAAACGCCCAACAATTCATCCTGCAGCCTTCAGCAATCATTTCGCGTAACGATGTGTAACAGAGCTGTTTCTTTCCAAACCATCGCCGCTTCCAGACTCTCAGAAATCCACGGCAGTCAAACTTTCAATCTCACAGAAAGGCCACTTCCGCTTTCCACTCCCTCCGAGTCTCCGACAATGACATTGCATTGCCGGCAAAAGATCAGTCTCATCATTCAGTTGCCCTGTCATGTCAGAGGTCATCAACCCAATGAAACGATTCCCGTCTTTGCTGCAACTGCTTCAGACCCCTCCCCCTCCTCCACTTTGAAAAGTTGCCCTTGCCCACCCTGCACTGCAGTCCTTGCTAGCGCCTCCAGAGGCCGGAGGCGCCCAAGGTGAAAAGGTTCCAAGACAAGACCCCTCGACGCCCCTCAGCTCCCACCAACCCCATGTCGGGTGACAAACAGCCAGTCGCAGGCTCGGATTGAGGCGGGATGGGACCAGAAATCACGAGCAATGTCACGTGCAAGGCTTAGATAAGATAGTGGCTGTAGTCAGCCATGCCCAATCTGGCTAGCAGTGGCTAGGCGGTGGGGAAAACCGGGGCGGTTGGCCATGCAACAGAAAAAAGTTGCACCGCAGTTGAAAATTTCAAAATTGAAAGTCGCCTGGCCTGCCCTGCCCCACGTAGCCCACTCTGAGGAACCGAACTGGCTCAGGCCTTTTAAAACCCTTCAACTCCCATCTCGTCCCTTCCGTCGTTGCCAGCTTCAGCTCAGTCTCGACATTCCCCTTCAAGACAACACATCTCTCAAAATGGCGGACGAAGTTTACGATGGTGCCATTGGCATCGATCTTGGTATGTTTAATCTTTACTTGTCGCAATGTCATGTTGTTGTCGCTGTTTTTGCGACCTGATTGCGCCCGAGTTTTTGTGGTTTTGTGCGTTTTTGGGCATCACCACGGGCAACGGCGCAATCAGTCAACACCCACCCGTATGTGATCATATGTGAGCACCTTGCTGACCTCAATCCTTCCATTCAGGTACTACCTACTCTTGCGTTGCCATCTACGAGGGTACCAATGTCGAGATCATTGCCAACGAGCAGGGTTCTTTCACCACCCCTTCTTTCGTCTCCTTCACTGCTGAGGAGCGTCTGATCGGTGAGGCCGCCAAGAACCAGGCTGCCATGAACCCCAAGAACACCGTCTTCGACGTCAAGTAGGCTTTGCCCGTTATCCTACGTCTGGAAGACGCAGCCTCACTAACGCACTCCCAGGCGTCTTATCGGTCGCCGCATCGATGACCCCACTGTCAAGAAGGACATGGAGTCTTGGCCCTTCAAGGTTGTCGACGATGGTAACGGCAACCCCAAGGTTGAGGTTGACTACCTCGGCGGTGTCCACACTTTCTCCGCTCAGGAGATCTCCGCCATGGTCCTCACCAAGGTAAGCTACAGCCGCATAACCGAGCTGCACGTCCCGTGCACAAAAGAACATTATACTAACATGTGCTTCCCATATCACAGATGAAGGAGATTGCTGAGGTCAAGATCGGCAAGAAGGTTGAGAAGGCTGTCATCACCGTCCCCGCCTACTTCAACGACAACCAGCGTCAGGCTACCAAGGATGCTGGTGCCATTTCCGGCCTCAACGTCCTCCGTATCATCAACGAGCCCACCGCTGCCGCCATCGCCTACGGTCTCGGTGCCAACAAGTCCAACAAGGAGCGCAACGTCCTCATCTACGATCTCGGTGGTGGTACCTTCGATGTCTCCCTCCTCAACATCCAGGGTGGTGTCTTCACCGTCAAGGCTACCGCCGGTGACACCCATCTTGGTGGTCAGGATTTCGACACCAACCTTCTTGACTACTGCAAGAAGGAATTCACTCGCCGCACAAAGAAGGCGAGTACCAATCCCTATAGCTTCCCTACAACTTTCCGTTCGTCGACGACTGTCGATTTTTGGCGGATTTTTTTGAGCCCCAGGGCTAACATTTTCGAATTTTTAGGATCTTTCCGGTGATGCCCGTGCCCTCCGTCGTCTCCGCACTGCTTGCGAGCGTGCCAAGCGTACCCTCTCTTCCGGTGCTCAGACCACCATTGAGATCGACTCCCTCTTCGACGGTGAGGACTTCAACATCAACGTCACTCGTGCCCGTTTCGAGGACTTGAACGCCAAGGCCTTCTCCGGTACCCTCGAGCCCGTTGCTCAGGTCCTCAAGGATGCCGCTATCGAGAAGTCCGCCGTTGACGAGATCGTCCTTGTCGGTGGTTCTACCCGTATCCCCAAGGTCCAGAAGCTCCTCAGCGAGTTCTTCGACGGCAAGAAGCTCGAGAAGTCCATCAACCCCGATGAGGCTGTTGCCTACGGTGCCGCCGTCCAGGCCGGTATCCTCTCCGGCAAGGCCACCTCCGCCGAGACCTCCGACCTCCTCCTCCTCGATGTCGTTCCCCTCTCCCTCGGTGTCGCCATGGAGGGCAACATCTTCGCCCCCGTCGTCCCCCGTGGCCAGACTGTGCCCACCATCAAGAAGCGCACTTTCACCACTGTTGCCGACAACCAGCAGACCGTTCAGTTCCCCGTTTTCCAGGGTGAGCGTGTCAACTGCGAGGACAACACCTCCCTCGGCGAGTTCACTCTTGCTCCTATCCCTCCCATGAAGGCTGGCGAGCCCGTCCTCGAGGTCGTCTTCGAGGTCGATGTCAACGGTATCCTCAAGGTCACCGCCACCGAGAAGACCTCCGGCCGCTCCGCCAACATCACCATCTCCAACTCCGTTGGCAAGCTCTCTTCCTCTGAGATCGAGAAGATGGTTGAGGAGGCTGAGAAGTTCAAGTCCAACGACGAGGCTTTCTCCAAGCGCTTCGAGGCTAAGCAGCAGCTCGAGTCCTACATCTCCCGCGTTGAGGAGATCGTCTCCGACCCCACCCTCTCCCTCAAGCTCAAGCGCGGCCAGAAGGAGAAGATTGAGCAGTCCCTCTCTGAGGCTATGTCTCAGCTCGAGATTGAGGACTCCTCCGCTGAGGACCTCAAGAAGAAGGAGCTTGCCCTCAAGCGCCTCGTCACCAAGGCCATGTCTTCCCGCTAAATTACCTTTTAGCTTAACGACGTGTATGATCGGAATACTTGGGAATAGGAACAGGAACTTTAATTGAAGACAGCATCTTGTCTTGTATTCTGACAACGTCTTCATATACCTCGTTCATGGGAACACGGATACTCAAAAGTTGGGGGGGCCATGTGTATTTGATCTGCACTCTCCACTGCAGCAGTCGCATCCCCAGGCAGGGACTGGTTGTTTCCAAGAATGAATGACATACCGGATGGATTTCTTTTCCTTGCCTTTTAGCGCCATTGATCTCTTTATTTATGACCCAAATCTCTTCGGCGCAACTGCATGTAGACTGGGGAAGGTGCAAAAACAATACAAACGATGAACAAAGTTAAAATGTCTAGCTCTGATGCATAGTGATTTGTTCGACATGTCTTGCACCTGGTTCACACATGTGTCATACATTATAGAAGGCATAACAATGTCATCTTCAACCAGTTGCTGTTTAACTTAAGGTCTTCCTAAATTCTTAAAAGGAATAATCCAAATCTAAAAAGTGGCATCACTATGCTGATCTACGCGTACCAACTTGAATTCTATGGCTCGCCTGATAGAACGTATGGTGGTGTTTGATTTAGAAATGCGTAGAACAATACTGTTAATGCATTGCAGCTCCTTTTTATGGAGGTGATAGGTCTACATATGCCTTTCTCAACTTGACCAATGCTTTCTTCTATAGATGAAAGTGATACATCGGCTCTACCGGGGAAAAAAAAAAGAATCCAGAAAAATTTCAGAAAAATCCGACAGCAAGAGGGAAAGAAGGAGAACAGAAGAGTTTGACGCGCCTTCCTAGTGAACTCCTTCTTGCAGTAGTCAAGCGCGGGGCCCCAGGCTTCACCTGGGGCCGCGAGTCGTTTCTGGACTGGATGTGATCGATCTTGAAAAAGGCATATTGAACATTCGATCCTGTGTCGTCGTCGGCGCAGACCCATGGAGTCTTGGCCTCCGGATCCCGAACCCGGACGAGTGCCAAGACGGCCGGAGTCTTTCGACTTACACAGGTGAGTACGGGCGTACATGCTGTCGATGATTATGCAATGCCTTGACGTACTCGAGAAACATCCTTGACAGAATTTAGAATGGATATTTTCGATGAGCTACCGCTTTGTCACTTGAAGAAGAAGCATTATTACAGGATTCGAAGAAATGGTAAAGAGGGCAAGATGCCTTGATCGCGACTTTCACCCGATGTGTTCTACACTATCTTTGAGCATGTTCGAGCACTCTTAGCTAGTCTAGTAGAGAAGATGCCGTTCCTCTTGCTAGAACAACACATCAATTTGGTGTCTCGAAAATAGACTTGATGTTGGTTAACCCGGACATTGCCCGAAGCAGGAACACGAAACTCCAATGTCTTTCCCAGAGACAAAGGAACCACATCATTGGACAAATGCAAGGGAGCGCCACACTTCGGACAGTGCCGCATCGTAACGCAAGGTCAGTCGAGAAAATAGTCGTTCGGTCGGCAATTTGACATCGGCTGATTTTTCCCGATCTCACATCTGGACACCTTTCCAAAAGTGAACCTTGGTCCAATTGATGGCACTTCCATCCGGACTCCAACAAACAGGATCATGCTTCGCCTCCTTTGTATGGAGTGCTGGGTTGGGGATGATTATTAAGATGTAAGCCCGGGTACGAGGGACATTGCCTACGAAGTGGACAGATAATTCGAAAAACATCAATTCCCTCCTATATGTCACTGATCTCCGTTCTTTCATAGTGTTTGTCTCTTTGTTGTTCCTCATCTTTTATTCAAACCCCTATTGACGTTCTAAGACTCGCACTTTCCATCTCACCCGGACCCCTGTCACAGCGCTGTCCGTGTGTGCTTATCGAACCTTTGATAAGAGTTCTTTCCCTCCCGCTCCTCTGCAGCGTGTCGCAGAAGACAGATAACCCCTGCAAAACAGCGACGTCAGTGTCCAGAACACGTTGAACTCGCCCCTAAAAAGTATACTTTGAGAATATCAGGAGGTGCCACGCAATCAACAAGTACCTTTTTCACCTTTCTTACACGGGCATTATTGCTATACGACGAAACATCGGATTATATGAGAACGATTTGCGATCTGGATCTGGCTACCGTTGCCCCGAAACCATTGGAACACCAAGGTACAACGTATAATTAGAGCTAGAGTGGCCTCTTTCCAACAGCTGCCGTTTGCTCCCGCAGGAGTCGAGCACCGGACAAGCAACAACAACAACGACAACAACAGCCCACCATGAAGCCCGCATCGCGGCTTTTCTACTTGTCGCTCTTTGCGCTATGGAGTCCCGAAGTCCAGTGCAAGAGCGATGATAAATCATGCGCTGTAAGTCAATGGTGTCTTGGCTATCAAGAGAAGGTACCGAAGCTAACAACCAACTCTCCCCTTTTAGATATCACCTAAAGCCATCGTCAGTGATGCATGCGCCTCCTATTCCACTCTCGAACATCTCAACCACGACGTCAAGCCCGCACTCGACGACCTAACACGGACAACCGACTTCTTCTCCCACTACCGCCTCAATCTCTTCAACAAGCGATGTCCCTTCTGGAACGACGAGAACGGCATGTGCGGCAACATTGCCTGCGCCGTGGAGACCCTCGACAACGAAGAAGACATCCCCGAAGTATGGCGCGCCAGCGAGCTCGGCAAGCTTGAAGGACCGCGGGCTAAGCACCCGGGCAAGTCCGTCCAGCGACAAGAACCGAAGCGCCCACTCCAGGGAAAGCTAGGCGAGAACGTAGGCGAGTCCTGCGTAGTAGAATACGACGACGAGTGCGACGACCGCGACTACTGCGTGCCGGACGACGAGAGCGCAGCCTCTAAGGGCGATTACGTCTCCCTTCTGCGCAACCCAGAGCGGTTCACCGGATATGCCGGCGACGGCGCCAAGCAGGTCTGGGACGCTGTCTACCGCGAAAACTGCTTCCAGAAGTCCTCCTTCCCCCAGTCCGCCTCGCTGGGCGAGACCTACTCGGTGCCCAAGGGCCCCGCGGCCCAGGATTTCCGCGCCGTCATGCAAGCCGCTGGTCGCCAGCAGGTGCTTGAGCAGCAGCGCGAGCAGAACCCTCTCGTCCCCTTCGTCGCCAAGACCGGTCTCGAGCTCGAAGACGAGTGCCTCGAGAAGCGCGTCTTCTACAAGGTCGTCAGCGGCATGCACGCGTCCATCAGCACGCACCTCTGCTGGGACTTCCTCAACCAGACCACGGGCCAGTGGCAACCGAACTTGTCCTGCTACATCAACCGCCTGCACAAGTTCCCCGACCGCATCAGCAACCTGTACTTCAACTACGCCCTACTCACCCGCGCCGTCGCCAAGCTGGGCCCTTACCTCTCCTCCCACGAGGAGTACACTTTCTGCACGGGCGATCCTGCCCAAGACGCCGACACGCGCGCCAAGGTCCTTGCCGTCACCTCCAAGGCCGCTAACAGCGTTCCCGGTCCCGTGTTCGACGAGTCCCTCATGTTTAAGAACGGCGAGGGTCCTTCGCTCAAGGAAGACTTCCGCAACCGGTTCCGCAACGTCTCGAGGCTGATGGACTGCGTTGGCTGCGACAAGTGTCGGTTGTGGGGCAAGTTGCAGACGGCTGGATACGGGACCGCGCTCAAGGTTCTGTTTGAGTTCGCTAATAACGATACTCCCGCCGCGACAACTTCCACGAGTGACGAGATCCCGTTCAAGCTTAAGCGCACCGAGCTAGTGGCGCTTTTCAATACTTATGCGCGGTTGAGCAGCAGTTTGGAGGCTGTTCAGAAGTTTAGGGCGATGGTTGAGGAGACTGAGACTGAGTCCAAAGAGTCCCACGAAGAAGTCGAAGCAGCCAAGAAGTGGACGCATCACATCCCCGACCGCGCCAAGAAGCCTAGACACGTTATCGTTTCGACACCCGTTGCTCCTGATAATGACGCAACTACTGCCACAACAGCTGCGGTAGACGAGACCACTGCGGCGGGAGTTACTCCCGCTGCCAAGGTCGAGGAGAAGAAGGAGCAGCAGCAGCAGCAACAGGTACAGGTACAGGTCAAGGAGAATGACGATGATGATGAGTTCCACGAGTTCCAGGAACAACCACAACAACAACAGCCCGACACCGACCCCAAGTTCGCTTACAAGAAGAGAACCATTAAGGATGACATTGACAGCGAGTTCAAGGCGGTGTTTGCGGCGTTTAAACTGGTGATTAAGAGCTATGTGCGGTTACCTGGGTTGTTGTGAGTTTTATTCCTACCCCATCATTTTCACTCGCTGTTTCCTCGTTTCTTGCTTGGGTACTCTGTCGTGGGATGTGGGGCTTAGACTAACGGATTGTGACAAAACAGCTACGAAATCGCGATAACAGAACTCAAACGCTTCTGGCAATTCTACATCGGCTTGCCCGTCATGCCTCGGACTTGGGAGTTTAGAAGACCCAGTTTTGATGAGCTTTGATTTGGGGTTTTGTCGATGAGTTACTGGTATCGATATATGGTAGTAGCCTACAGGGTACTCTTTTCGTTTTCCTTTTCTTGTTTAGAATAATAAAAGCATGGCTTCTTTCTTACCATTCACTTAAGTTATGATGCCGATGATGCGGTGTTAATGATGGGAAATAAAAAAACAGTGACAAGTTTTTCTAATCTGCCACATCCTACTGTATATCTTTTTCTAGAGATAAAAGCCTGGCTGCTGTTCCCAACGTCAATGAAGCTTAACCCCACGTAAGTTCCTGTCGCGGAGGGACGATGGATCAGTTTAATGTGCACATACATATCTGGACTAGGGCTAGACCAGACTAGAGGGAGACAGACGACCATTAGACACCTATGGTACTTACCTGGACGGCAGGTAGTTGAAGTTCTGCTCGCCAAGGTACTCACTCTAGCCAGATAGCGAAATCAGAAGAAAAAGATGACACACCTATGGTAAACTACTAGTTCTAAAAGCCCTGTGACAAGCTAACTTTACTAGTATAGTTCCTGAGACCACTGCTGCATAAGGCAGTCATAGGCATCTTGCTTGCTTGATTGCTTGACATCTGTCTGTCTGGCATAAATGGCTCTTAGGTAGGTTTTTACCTGTGAGAGCTTACGAGGGAGCCTTTTCGTATCCGACAAAAAGACATAAAATCCATAAATCATGCATGTTTTTCTTCTTCTTCTTCTTCTTCTTCTTCTTCTTCTTCTTCTTCTTCTCAATTATCATTTTCGTCGATGTGTGGCTGGGTTTACTCCCTTCTCTTTTGGTCTTTTCTTGGTTTTCTTTCGTTTTTCCGGCTCGTTTTCGCTTTTCGTGTCTTTTTTGGTGTTCTTTCTCGTCTTCCTTTCCTCTCCTTTCTTTCATTTTTCTCTCTTGGTTCTTCTTTCTCGTTCTCTGTTCCTTTTTCTTCTGTTCATTTACTCGGTTTTTTTGGGTTTTTTTTTTTCCCTCCTGTCACTTGAACAATGGTTGAATGATTTGTCTCATAGAAGCTGGGACGCGGAAGGCATACATACCTATCATCTTCATGGACATGTTGTTTTCACTCAGTGGTGGTACAAATTTTTTTTTCCTCAGTGGTGGTACAAATTTTTTTTCCTTTTCCTTGTTTTTTTATTTTTTTTTTTTACTTCCTCTTTTCTCTGACACTGTCCTCAACTCCATCACGTGAGAAATTGTTTGTATGTGAATCACTACAGGAGCGAGTAGAGAGACTATCTCTACTGCCAGAAAAGCATATTCTCAAACAACACCGACGCAAGCAAACATATCAAGGAGTAACACAGTAAGTGACTTGCAATTTATAACTTGGTAATGTTTTCTCCAAGTCCGTCGGACAGACAGAAGTTATAACGCTTTTTTGTCTCTTTCAATAAAGAACTCCCACTTCTTAAATGAAGTGTACAATGACGGACGGACTGACGAAACTTAACATGGTGGTTATCACGGCGCCAGTGTCACTCTCACTGTCAAAGGCTCAAAGGGAGGAGGAGACGTATATGAACGTTCGAGAACTAAGAGCAGGATATCGCTATGCTACTAATGTATCTTTGTCTTTTATCCCTGTACCCTTGATCCTTTCTACTGTCTAAGGAATTAGAAACGCTGATGCAATAAAAGAAATGATGGGGCCCAACCAAACCGAATGTTCACCTCGACTTCCATCTGAAAGTACTACACACACCAAGGAGTCTCACTGAACCTAGAAGCCCTTTAGTTCATACCAAGTCCCATCAGCCGCTTTTCTCATCGGGATGAGCTCATTAGCGTTGATAACCCCTTTGATGACCCGTTTATACCTCGCCTTCATACTCATGCTCGGTTACGAAACCATCCTCCTCTCCAGACTCGTCCTCCTCTCTAGACTTATCTTCGTCTCCGGACTCATCTTCCTCTCCAGGATCATCTTCCTCTCCAGGATCATCTTCTTCTCCGGACTCATCCTCCTTCCCAGGCTCATTCTCTTTAGACCCCTCCGCCTGTTTCATATTGGGCACATCCGCCTGTTGCTTTTTATGTCCGGCTCTGCAGCCTGATTTCTGCAAGTGAGAAATGAGCGGCTTTGCATTCTTGTAATTCAACTTATTGCTGCCCACCCACTCAGTACCACATGTCCGGCACTTTAGCCCCCTTTCAGTCTGGTCGAACTCCAAAGTAGCACACTTATTCAAAGTCAGGTGGCTGTGAATATTTTTTTGTGTATACTTACCCGTCAACAATGCTCCACAGCGCTGGCAACGATATCCGTTCTCAGTCGTGTCGAACCACCCCGCTAGAAGGTCACATATTCTAGACCCCTTATGGTTCATGGCGCCAAGGTGAATTCCGAGTTTTGAACCGTGTTTCAAGTGGACACCGCATCGTCGACACTGTATTGTTTTCTCGGTCACATCAAATGACTCCCCCATGATCCCGCATTTTTCAGACAGATGCGTCCGAAGTTCCGCTAGCTGTTGTGAGGGCGCTTTGTTTATGTTCATGGATCGTAGGCACAAGACACATATCAATCCCCCTTCGACCTTGGCGAAACGGGTTCGGACCTCTTCATCGGTAAGGCGGAATACAGTCTGGCGTATCTCCTCCTTGCTCTCCCCTGCGCCGCAAATATCTGCATCCAGGTGAGCATCAAGAGGTTGTTTCGACAAGAAGAACCGTCCACATCCGGGGCACAGAAACCGTTGTTTTGAATCGTTGTCGAAGACCTCTGATATCTCTGCGTGGAACTTGAGGCAGTGCGAGTGATATTCCTTCTCCGTATCGAACTCCTCCTTGGCGTTACACCCGTACTCGGCAGAGCTTCGAACGCCTTTTTCGTCTTGGACCTAGCAATCTGAGGGCGTTTCTGAGCCAGACGACTAGAACTTGACGCGCAAGAACGGGCAAGGCCCACACTCCTATGCAGTCTTGACCGGTAAGCCGAGGCCCTTGTCGCGTAGATCAAGCCTGGTAACGTAGTTTCCAATCTTGACCTTGACCATTTGAACGGGGAGACTTAAGCCAGTACGAAGCTTGTCTCTGATCGACACGTTTTCACTATGCATGGTTTCGCAGTCGTCGAAGACCGAGTCCGTCAGCTGCTTTAACGATGCACTTGGACGAGCATGGGTCCAGGCTATCGTGACGTGGAAGCGGTAGCCCATATCCTTAGACTCGTAAAGTGGCGGTTGGCCGTACTCTTTGACGATCTTGTTGCATTTTTCAAGAAGGGTGGTCAGTCGTGGGTTGGGGCTCGAATTTGCAGTGTTGCCAGTACTACTCTGAACCTCACGCACCCGCAGGACCAAGAACGATCTGGTGCTTTCCTCGGATCGATACCAATTGACACCCCCCGAAAAATCCAGCACAAAAGGGCTCACGCGGCATGACTTCATCGCTTTGGTTAAATCGTCAAGGAAGTCGTCTTTGTTGTTTGAGGTCAGTGTAATTGGAGCCGACAGGCTGATGTGCAATGGCCTGTTCACGGGTAAATCTGAATCCCGCAAGGCTGTGTGAATTTCGACACCCTCAAGATCAGGAGACCGCTGGGCAGCAGATTTCGCCTCGGCCTTAAGCTTGTCAACAAGAGACGTGAGGAGCTCACGATCACCTGAGCTGGGCTCCCAATCGATATATACGTGGCTTGGCCAGTTGCCGGGGATGTGGGGAACCTGGCGCTGACGGCCATGGTGCAGGGAAGGATCGTCGGCGACAGCGGTCCGAGGGTTAGAGGGATTTATATCGTTGAATCTATCACCGAGTGCTGGGAGAGGTGACGTTGACTTTGGGGCCGGTTTTGGCGGAGTAATGCGGGTGCCAAAGTTCCCGTTAAGTGGGGCAGCGGGAGTCGGAGCCGGAGCCGAGGGTGGGTCCTGGGCACCGATGCCACTGCCACTGGTCTGGCGCCTCTTGGACTGTGGACGAATAACTGACGAACTCGTTTCGGGGTTGTCCGATGGACTTCCAGGATCGGACTCGGATCCGGATTCATAGTCCACCAGAGTCCGTTTATTCATGACTGGCTCCAGGTTGCTTGCTCGGCGACGGAGGTTCCTGGAGATGATAGCTGACTAATTGGCTGCGTAGCGGTGGTTTGGAGTCTGTAGATTTGTGTAACCAATTGGGTGGTGTGAAGGATTTGATGGATAAGACGTTCCGGTAATGGAGAATTGAACTCTCTTGTTTGAAGTTGGTGAGCTCAGAATGGCGGTTTTGGTGAGGTCGTCGAGCTGAGCCAAAAGGTTTTTGGAGTTGGGGGTGCCGCGGTGCCTGGCGTGCCTGACTGTGTGAGTTCGTGCTTGCACATTCCCATTTTTCTAGCAGGTACCGGCACGCGGGGAAAGTGTGGATCGGGGAACCGGGTCGCTGTGCGGTTTGTCTCCTCCTTTAAGGTAACCTTTCATTGGTCGCTTCCACATGACAGTCGGGTGTGTCCCAACAAGAACTTTCCAAGCAGGAAGTGAGCAAAGAATGAGTGAGAATTTCAACTGAACGGAAAGATCGAGTCTACAAAACACAGCGGTAGAGGTAATCGCGGCTTCTACCTGCACTCTTAACCCCTCTCCGACCCCCGCACATTGCTGTTTCTTCAAGGAAGGCAGAAGCAAGTGGAGGATGTTGACGGTTGACCCGACGGCGACTTCCTTCTACTTTGTACATTAATCCAAGTCCTCTTTCCAATCCAGCCATCGTACCTACCTACCTACCGCAGGTACGGTACAGATCTTGCCCTGCCAGTGGCACCAAGTCAGTCTCAGATCTGAATGGCCTGCAGCGCCTTCTCATTTGTTGTGCGAGCAATGTCTTTCTTGCCTCGACTTGCCAATATCACCACCCCAACCACGCAACCACGACTGACCAGCCCAACAAACAAACACGCCCGTCGCTGGCCCGGCCTGGACCTCCGGTCTAGATTGCATCGTCTCCGGGCTGGCTAAATGCGACCTCGCCATGACGTCGGTCTCATGTATCGATTCTCCCCCGTTTTACCCTTCAGGGCAGTAGGCTAACGGTCAGGACGGTCTCGAACCTCCGCTTGCGCTGCCTGGGGGTGGTAATGCTCTCCTGGCGGTCATGCTGTCCAAATGAAGACGCCAATTGGCCATGTCTCCATCATGGGACACACCCGTTCTGTGAGAAGGCTCAGTGAGGGGGGAAGAGGATGGCAATTTATATTATCCCATCTTTGCTGGTCGACCTTTGCAAGTTGCCCTTTGTATTATCTCCTATTTGTTTTGTTTCGTCTTCTTTTCAATTCAAGTGCCGCGAGTAACAGCTCTCGTCTGTCATCCTCGTTGTGCCGGTTAACCTAACTACTCCCACACCTCCCTACTGCCGATCTCCTGCACCAAGGGCCCTGAAACAGCTGTACATACGAGCGCACAGCCGTCCGGAAGCCATGGCCGCCGCACATCTGTCGACTCAGAGACACCCGAGACTGGAGCCAAGCGGGATGGATGACGGAACGTACGACGACGACGACCAGGTGTACGACAAGCAATGGGTAAGCTTTTATTGTCCTTTGTCCTCACCTCTTGTGGTGCTCCACCGATCGCCATGCCCAGCCGTGTCAGCTTGCGCGGGCACACGTTGACTTCGCGTCCCTCGACAAGAATCAAAAGTCGTCAGCTCCGAGCAGACTTTTTTTTTCTGTTTTTGGTATTCGGGACTAGGTCAAAAGATGACGGGGTGGCTCCCGGTTTCGGCTTTGGCGGGATTTGCATCAATGTTAACATGTCCTAGTTGTAGTGGTGACTGCAAGCGCTATCAGTTTTACCTTTTTCCGTTAACAGTTTCGCCTGGTTCTGCGGCCTTCTCTTAACATCCCTCCCCCATGCCCTCTTCTGTTCAAGTTACTCTTCTGTCTGCAACACCCGTGGTACTCTTGAGCTAAATATGTCGACAAAGTGTTGTACGACATGTTACCATTCAAATCACGCATCACGAACCCTTTTTTCTGGGGCTGGGCGGTGGGAAGGGGTGAGGTGAGTGGCTTGTTGCACTGTTAGTGACGACAGCCAGCAAGCCGGGAAGTACTTGGGATGTTGCGTCACTCCCACGTTCCTGCTGATCCCCTGCCAAGGCGCAGCCACTTGAAGGCCGAGAAACTCCATGATGCTGCTTCTTTCCAGCTTTGCTCTGGACAGGACCCTGAGTATAAGCCTCAGATATAAACTAAAATAGCTGGTTACCCTTTTATCTCACCTGTTCATTCGTCTTATTTCACAACTTCACTCCTACAACTCGCATCTTTCCTGCGTCCCTCAACTCCACGGCTTGCACTTACACACCCGATTAGGCAAGCAAGTATATCCTAGGACCACTCTACGAGCCCGAGCCCAGTGAGGAATCCGCAACTCGTGTCCAAGGTCTTCCCGTCACATCTCCGCCGTGTGCCAGTCCTACCCGTCCAACTTTTGGTACCCACCGTCGTAGGAGCTCACTTGCGCCTACCGCCGAGCATTCCGAAGAACTACCTCTACTTCGTCGAATCTTGAGTAGGAGCAATAGTCTTAGCACCAAACCCAAACCACCTCCTTCGCAACCAAAGTATCCCCCGGTAACCGAATTGGAAAGAAAGAAATCCCTACACACGGCCAGCCCTCCCACAACCCGCTGGAACCAGGGCACTCTTCTCACCAGATCCTACAGCGTCGCCTCGTCTCGGCCAACCATAAACGAGTCAAATAAGCTCTTGATAGAGAAAGGCTGGGGCGTTCGACGTGCTGTCTCCCTTGCCGAGCATCATCCCAAAGACCACTCTCACCGATTTGCGGAAACACTCACTCAAAAACTCGAAACTCTCATTCAACGAGAAGACCAAGACACAATGGCTCGTGAAGGCGAATATCAAACAGGTCGACCTCGTCGTTCCAGCTCCCTGAGGGAGCGTTATCCTGGTGACATGTCTCACCGACCACTCGCCATGCTCGAGCGGGACCACCGGGCTGCTGACCGCGCACCCAACCTGCACAACCCTCGCCATCAGCAGCCGATCGATATCATCGACACCCTAGATCTCACTGGCGCCGGACGCGGCGTTACAACCTACCACCATGAAGGCCCATACGACGCCACCATGGCGTCCCGCAACCGCAACAAAAAGTACTCGCCCGTCGAAGCCGTCAAGGACACCAACATGGAAGCTCTCAAAGCCACTCCCCGTGAGTATGTCCAGGACTCGCTGGTCAAACACGTCCCGCTGCAAGGAACCGCCGTCGTTCCTCCTGGGATGCCGGACTTTGCTGGACGGACATTGAATTACCAAGAAGGCACCGATATGATGCGTGAGGGTGCCGCTGGCGGTGGTCAATACAAGAGATGGGAGGGTTATGTATGTTTTCTTTCTTCCTTTACCCCCTAACTTTCCCATACCTCTTTTTTAAGGAATCATCAGCTAATTAAGTTATCCAGCAATATCACCCCGACGACCTCAAAGGCAAAGGCGAACCTTCCTACACCATCGAAAAGCAACTCAAAGATCACAAGACCGCCTCTCGCCGTACCCGTGGCTACAGCCATGGCGACTACTACACCTCCTCTAAGAAGGAAGGTGAAGGCGCAAGCATGATTGAGATGCAACCGCGCTCTAGTCATCATCTGGAAGTCCCCGGTTCTTCTAGCTCTGGTCTTATGGGCGATCAGAAAGATGGTAATGCTAGAGTCCGCCAGAGAAGCGTGAGTAATGCTGCGGCTACCGGGTACGGAGGACAGAATCAGAACAACGACTACTATGAGATTGGTGGGGGTGAGTCTAGTAGTGCTGGTGGTGGTGGCGTGAGGAGAAGTAATACTACGGGGAAGAATATTGCGCAGTCGTTGAAGAGGAGGTTGGGGAGTATTAGGCGGAAGAGGGAGGAGGTTTGAGAGGTTTAAAGAGTGAGCTAAGACGACTTTTTGGATATGGAAAAGATGGGATGGAAGTGATGGGTGATTGGGACACTTGGTTATGACGGCCTTGAACGTTCCATCTGTGTTTCTGCGTTTCTTTCTTTCTCTCTTTTTCTTCTTCTTTTATCTTGTTCTCTCTTCTCGTCTATTATCAACATGAGTGGGAGTTTTGAATATTCTAGATGGATATTCTAGATGGATTGGATGGATTGATTGGATGGATGGTTGGTGGGAAGCAAGACAGACAGACGGACAGGATAGATACGTTAGATATATGGTGTGTACATGATAATGACTTTATGACATAGTAACATTTGTATGAATACGATAAGTTTATAGCCAACTCCAGGGTCTGTAAATAAGTGATCAAGTCGCTATATTTACGATTGGCAAGTGAGTTTCTGTTGCTTACGTCATACAGTACAACCAGACAACGGCTCGGTGGTAGCCAAAGTATCTAAAATGATGATATCTGTCTCTGTCATCTTCGACATCAACTCTTACTGCTGTTGTACGACAGAGCACCATCACCACTTTGGAAACCTATGGAGTCGAGGGAATGGTAAAATCTAACAACGAAGAGTAGTATATGCTCTGAGGTTTTAATTTACAGGTCCGGGGCTATTATGAGTCCGACTAGGAGCTCGGTGCGGTAGCAGATTAGTAAATAAGTTAACATGAGGTTTTTTCTTGTGGACAACAAACATACTATCCTACTTTGTACAATCTTCATACGATTAACGATGAAAAGCCTCTGAGTCTGCATTTTCCGAAGTACGGCATTCTATCGTCATTATATGTAAAGTAATATTATCCTGTCTCTCCCCAAATCCATATTTTATCTTCAAAGGTGTCAAGTATCTTGCTACAACCGTACTCCTATGCGGTCCAGAGGAGCCAGCCATCCATTGCGTTTTCCCATCCCTTTGTCTTCACTTTTTACTGGTTGGTGCCATTCATACACTTGAGTGAAAAAAATCGCATGCTTGCTCCTGATCTAATGCTTGCTTCGTACGTACGTACTTTGGATGTGACACAAACCCGCCTGTAAAAGATTTTGAACCCATCCACCTGCCCATCCACTCTGATCTGGTCTGATCTGATGATAACAAGTGAGGTCTGGCATGAGACTGATAGACTAATAAGCAAGATCCTCACCGAGTTCCTCTTCTTCCGCTTCGTAGTCTTCGGAATCGGAACCGTCGGATCCTGACTCTGAGCCTGAGCCTTCTTCTTCCTCTCCTTCTTCTTCCTCGTCATCCTCCTCTTCGTCTTCGTCATCCTCTTCCTCGTCCTCATCTTCTTCCTCCTCGGTATCAGTACTTGTCTGGAGGTCACCACTTGATTGCGTCTCCTCCTCTTCCTCCTCTTCCTCTTCACCTTCTTCCTCCTCCTCTTCATCAGCCTTCGCACTGCTTGTCTCACCCTCACTTTCCGTCCCAACTGCCCTCGTCGGCTGCGTCTGTGTCGGAATCTCCCTCCTCTCCGGCACCCGAACCGGCCCATCATCACTAGCCGCATCCTCGCCCGGTCTAATCTCATCCTCAAACGAGACCCTCCTCCGCTCTCTAACCTCATCATCAAACGACACACGATTACTGCTACTCCTCCTTCCACTCTCTGTCGACAGTCGATTCAGGTCAGGTCGTTCCTTAACACCAGCCGCAAACGCCACGTTCCTCCCGCCGTTATTTGCTGCATGCGCTTCGGCAGGAGATAGTACGTCGCCACCCCAAGGCTTACATTCCTTCACCAGCTCACCACACCGCAAGCACGTCCACCCTTCGCCCTCCTCGCGCTCGATGCGCGTCGCCAGGCAAACGAAGCAGTACACGCAGCCGCAGGGCATGGCCTCGTAGGGGTTCGTGATGTCGGTCTGCGCGGAGCCGACGACGCCTGAAGAGGAAGAGGCGGCGGCCAGAAGCTCGGCTTCGGACTTGGCGCTGTTTTGGTCCTGGTAGCAGATGGCGCAGGTGCGTTCGGGCAGGAAGGAAAATTCGCCGCCTTTTTGGGTCGTGTCATTGGTTGCCGACATGGAGAGAACCGATTTCGTGCGGCGCCAAGTGCGCGCCAGCCAGCGTCGCCAGCGGTTGATGCCTACCAGGGGCAACACGAAGAGAAGGAACTCGGTGAAGGCATGCCAGACGAGTTGGCGGTTGAGGTACTCGAACGAGACCTCGCGCGAGACCTGCGAGGTGGGCGGCGCCAGACGCATGCGCAGGAGGCGGTCGAGGATGGTGCGGTAGCGGCCGTGCAGGAGGAAGACGAGGAAGGAGGCGAAGGAGGCGAAGGCGTGGAAGGTGCCGAGGGATTCGGTCAGGCGGCTGAGGCGCTGGATGTTGGGGTTGGGTCCCTCGAGGGAGTAAGACGAGGCCTCATCATGGTCGAGCAGGTAGTTTTCCCATTTGGTCCAGATGTACTTGCCACCCACGGTGACGAAGCCGTACAGGCTCTTTTGCAGCTTCGATGGCGGCTGGAGAACGGGGCCGGACTTGCGGGCGTCGGTGTAGCGCAGGTTCTGCAGGGCAGCGCCGTACGTCGCGTCGTGGTCCCAGATGGTCAGCTTGAAGAGGATGGCGCGCAGGATGAGCAGGATCTCGGCGTCCCATTCGTCTTTGAGCGTCGACGAGACGCCCCCGCCAATGTACTTTAGGGCGTCGCCGACCTGGGTGCGCAGGAGGTCGACGAGCTCGGCATCGAGAAGTTCGGCGTCGACTTGGCCGACACGGAAGGCGGGCCGTGTGCCCTCGCGCGAGGAGATGGCATCCCAGAGAGAGAGGGTCGATGAGCCGAGGCGTCGAATTAAGGGGGATTGGGAGGCGGCGATGCGAGACCGTAATTCGGATTCCGATCGTTGGGCGGCCAGGCGCGCGGCGTTCTCTGTCTCACGGGCTTGTCGGCGGGCGATTAGGCGCTGCTGGGCGAGGGCGAAGGTGTTGTTTGTTGGCAAGGCAGGTTGAGTGACAGCCGGCGCGGCGGCGGTGGCAGCGGGGGCT